AAAAATTTAGAACAACATTTGTAGATCTAGCCAAAAGTGGCTGCGATTATGAGAGACTGTCATTAATAGACTAGGCCTAACTCAAGAGTGGTAAATCGTATACTAATAGTCTATAAGTAAAAATAAAGCCCATAATAAGAGGAACATGAATATTCATAGTCTAGTTGCTGAACAGTTATACAATAGGACTATAACTAGAGTTCTTCTAGAGGTACGAAGGCGGTTATCACTTCCCGGTTACTCACATCGTGAAAGGGTTCTTCTGGAGGTACTTGAAAAAGAAATTGATTTAAAGGTGGTCATAATGACCTGAGAGCGTGACCGCAGTGCCCAAGGGATCACTGCTTGAAGTCGATCACACACAACCATTTTGTGGGTAGTTTTCATGTTAGCTCCGCACTTGTTGAGACCTTACCGCCGGAGACGGATATTTGCGAGATAAGGCGAGATGTGCATTTTTAGGGTCTATCTTTTCTAACTTAACCCTTTCTTTGTGGGAAGGCAGCGTTGCTGTTATGCTGGTTGTGTGAAGGAAACACATTACTGTCGTCACACCTCTGTACAGTCAGCAATACGACTTCACCCTCAGACTTTGGGTTTGCTGCTTTTAATCTTACCACTCTTCAACCGACCTGTCTGGTATGGTAGGAGCTTGGGAAACGATTGTTCCAACCAGTATAGCTCAACTGGTCCATAACGGTAGGCAAGCCCGACTACCATGTCAAGGTAGCAACAACGGTCGGTATAGGAATATATATATGTACATAGTATCAATCCATATATGGATCCCAATAGTTGCCATCCACTATTCTCATCGGGATATAACAAAAACATATTCTTGCTTTTTTTTCACATCAAGTAAATTTCAACAATACTAAAACAAATGGTTACTACCCACAAACATATTGACACTTGTTTAACTACTATGAATGATGATGATAATCATACACATCAGTTGTCAATTCTCAAACAAACAAAAAAAGAACAGGTTTCTTTCTTTATCATGAATTAACATGAATTAACATCATTAGAAAGTGTCTATAGTTTGAAGATAAAAACAACAAACAAACGAAAGTTTCTTGATAAATCATAACAAGTTATATCTTGACATTTACTGTTGAAAACTTTAGAAAAAAAGAAATTTCCATGAGTAAAAATTATAATATAATCGGTTGTTTTCACCTATGTTCTCCTTCACTACGTTCAATGTCATTATCAACCAGGAGAGGGGAAGGGTGCTGTTTTGTGTACGGCATTGCGGACCTAGATCTGAGGTACTTGCTGAAGCGGTTTGTTGCAGGGAGATGACGTCGAATGGAGTATCCTGGAGAGTGGCGTTGGCTGTATTGGGTTCTGCCGGTGGAAAGGAGCGGTGGAACATGTGGCTATTGGATGGACATTGAATGTAGATGTTTCAGCAGGTCACTGGAGTTCAAGTGTTGAACGTCCTGGTTGCTGGACGTAGTCAGATTTTGATGGCCCGGAAGATTAACGGAACTATGTTGGTCAATACTTCACAGACTCAACATTTTGATGGAGAGCTTGGCACAGACTATAGAAAATAAGGAAGTAACATAACGAGCAGAACCACCACAAGAATGATTGATTTAAAAGGGGCAGACAAGTGTGATGTGTGCTACTGATGTGGTCAGATATAAGTAGTATAAGTGATCAATGGAAAATGAAAAATTTCATTTGGGATAATTGTTTTACTCCTGACATCTCCAAACTCTATCAGTTATGTCTAGCAATTAGAATCTAGAAGAACTCGTTTAGAAGAAAGTTAATAATGAACTTGGGGTTATAGATCAATGTCTAGATCAATGAGTAGACAAGCAAGACATTGATCACCACCCAGTGATCAATCAATTGTAATTACATCTCAGTCCTACAGGAGGTTAGTCACGGCTCGGATAGCTCAGTGGTAACGTCTCTGACTGTGAAGCTGGGTGACACGAGATCGAATCCGCCACGGAGCACCAGTTCCCTCAACATTACATGTACACCTTGCTGACGAGTGCCAAATAGCACGAAACACGGGTCCAGGGTTTCCTGTTGACTACCTCCAACCACCATCTAAATCTCAATACATAGTGCCCGCAGTGTCGAGTCACCTAGACTGGTGGCCACATTGCAACATGATCGATAGCATTCGATCTGCACTAATAAGGACTAGACAAGCATGACTTTGATCACCACCCAGTGATCAATCAATTGTAAGTGTGATGTGTGCTACTGATGTGGTCAGATATAAGTAGTATAAGTGATCAATGGAAAATGAAAAATTTCATTTGGGATAATTGTTTTACTCCTGACATCTCTAAACTCTATCAGTTATGATTAGCTATTAGAATCTAGAAGAACTCGTTTAGAAGAAAGTTAATAATGAACTTAGGATTATAGCTTGAGTAAAGTTACTTTGAACAAGTTTGTTTTATTTATTCTAATGTTCATATGTCACTTGTGGATATGTGACAACTAACACGCACTCAATATTTATCAGAATGTCTGTATTCTATTGTCTAATATACTTGTATACTAATTACCTCTTACATAAAAACATACATACATACATACTTGCTTACTTATTTACGAACGCTACTCCTCCTGAAGAAGCATAGGCCGCTCACAAGCACTCACCATCCAACTCTGTCATAAGCAATCCTTTACAGCTATTTCCAGTTCTTATTCATTCTTTTCATATCTGCTTCTAATTCCCGATATAATGTGTTCTTTAGCATTCCTCTTTTCCGATTCCCTTCAGGATTCCAATTTAGAGCTTGTCTCGTGATGTAGTTTGGTGGTTTTCGTAATGTATGTACTATCCATTTCCATCGGATTTTCCTAAATTCCTATTCAGTTGAAAGCTCATTTGTTCTCTACCACAGAAGGCTCTTGCTGATGGTATCCGGCAATTGGATATTGAGTAATTTGTGTAGACAACTATTTATAAATACCTGTACCTTCTTGATAATGGTTGTAGTAGTTGTTCAAGTTTCAGCTCTGTAGAGTAGAACTGTTTTGATGTTCGTATTGAAGATTGTGATTTTGATATTGGTTGACAAACAGTTGTTTAGAGTTCCAGTTGTTGCAGCCCTTGCTTTGCCGATCCTTGCCTTTACATCTGCATCTGATCCTCCCTGTTCATCGATGATGCTTCCCTGGTACGTGAAGGATTCCACATCTTCCAGAGTTTCGCCATCAAGAGTGATTGGATTGGTGGTCCTTGGTTTTCCAGTTGTGTATGTTGAGGCCTACTGATGCAGAAAATGCAGCTACACTAGCTGTCTTTATCTGCATTTGTTCATGTGTATGCGATAGGAGGGCTAGGTCATCTACGAAGTCCAAATCTTGTAATTGGTTCTGAGCTGTCCATTGTATTCCATGTTTTCCCTGAGATGTGGAGGTCTTCATAATACAGTTGACCACCAAAAGAAAGAGGAAGGGAGAGAGTAGACAGTCTTGTCTGACTCCGGTCCTTACTCGTTATGCATCTGTCAGCTGTCCTCCATGCACGACTTACCTCTACTAATATTATATTCTTTTTGTACTAATCATAAAATGTGACTTATTTCCAACTTAATATATTTGGTTATCTATAGAAGAATAATGACACAGATGAATTGAAGTTAAACATCTATCTACAGAATATGATGTCAACTGATTAGTCTTAATGTTTAGAATCCTCATGTTAAAGCGAACATCATGAGATCGATCGTTTGTGATTATAAACTCTTGAACAGTCCCCTTAGTAGAATGAAATAGCTGTCTAGTGCTTCCAGATTTTCAGTCGATGTCTAACCGCTAATCAACGTATGCAACAATGCAAGCACGTTTGGGATACAATTCTCCCCCTCGAAATGCTAAATTTTGCTTCAGGATTGGGTTACATCGGCACCTCAACTAATGATAGGGAGTGAAGTTGTGTTGACCGCTTCACTTATCTTAGGAGTTTCGTCAGTCCTTGTCGTCTGGTGTGTGGCGAAATCTCAGCATGAATACAAAAGACTCAACTAGCTTTTGTCAACTTGCGTCATTTATGGCGTAGGCGAAATATCCTTCTATCAACCAAAGGACGGGTTTACTGCACAGTAGCTCGTTCCATCCTGCTTTATGGCTGTGAAACATCACCGGTAAGAGTGAAGGATATTCGCAGGTTACTAGTATTCGATCATAGGTGTCTTCGAAGCATATTCCGGAACTACCGAGTAAGTAATGCAGTTGTTAGGAAACGGGTACTAGGTTAAGATGACAAATCAATTGATGAAGTAAAGAACCATCATCGGTTGATATGTCTGGGATATGTGTTACTCATGCTCAAACACCGACTCTCCTGAAATGCAATGTTTTATGCTGTAGTAGTAGGTTGGAAGAAAGCTAGTGGCGGCCAGATAAAAATATGGCACAAACCCATGAAGTCACTGGCAAGTGAAATGAACCATATTGGTCGATATAGACTACCTAGTTGGGATCCGCAAGATTATAGCAACTGATGGTTAGAGACCTTGAATAACATGGCTCAACATCGTTTACAATGGTGCAGGTGCATCCACTCTCTATGTTCTCCCAAATTCTAATCTCGAGGACTCTTCATGTCTCTTTCTTTTTGTCTCTTTCCAAATTTATTTCACTGTATTACACTCCTTGAATAACATCTTCAAACCCTAATCTTTCTGATTACTGCTTATACTTTTACTACCTCTACCAATATGGGACTTGAATCGACAACTGCATCTCTGTGCTAATGTGGTATGGCAACTCGAACTGATGTACGTACGTACTAAGTTCTACGTTGTACTGACTGACTGACTGACTGTGGTTGTCTAACTTAAACCAGTTTATAACTTGGATAGATTAATATAATACAGAAAATTAGTTAAAACAAAATATAAAACAACAAATAGGTAATATGAACTTATTTATTATAGTTTATCAAATCATTATCATCAATTTATCATTCTTTATTGAAGATGCTTCGATTATTTGAACATTTCATCGAATTACTTTTTCTTGTTTTTTATCTTGTTATAATCAGATTTCTTGATCGATCTATACTTTGGTGGTATAGTATCTTCGGATTCACCAAGTTTAGATATCTTTTTTGGTTTGACCAGTGTTTGAAGGGTTTTAGGCTTCACAACATCGTCATCATCATCATCATCATCAGCGTCATCATCATCATCATCACGACCAGCAGCAGTAGTAACAGTAGCATTAGCAGCAGTAACAGTAGCATTAGCACCAGTAACAGTAGCATTAGCACCAGTAACAGTAGCATTAGCACCAGTAACAGTAGCATCAGCACCAGTAACCGTAGCAGTAGTGGCAGTATTATCAGGTTTTGTTGAATCATCTGATTGAATGGTGGTTTCTGATACTTCAGTAACTGATAAAGACTCAGTTACATTTTCTTCATTAGATAATGAATCATTTTCATTAAGGTTTAGTAGTATAACCAATAAAAACATGTAGAAGAATGCTTGAATTCTATGGTTCATTGTTATGATTAACATGGTAAGATGTACTAACGGCTTCTATATATATATACATCGGTATACATAGGTACGATATCATAGGATTTGCCTTGACAGATAAACGATTTCATGTCGTTTCCTGGATCATTCAAATGAGTATGACATATATGACAAATCTATGTCATTATGTAATTTAGATTATAGATTAGTTTATAAAACACTTCCGCGGTTTTGATAAATATGCATAATCTAATATGAATGGGATAGAAAATAAATTGAGGAAATCATCAAAACTGTATTACAAGGTAAGCGCTAATATGGAATCTTGAAGGGAAACGTAAAAGACGAAGATCAAAGAATAACACTGCACTGAGAATTGGAAGCAGATATAAGTAGAATGAATAGTAATTGAAAAGAAATAGGAAGGATTGGTGAGGACAGAGTTGAATGAAGAATGCTACTGGGCGGTCTATGCTCTTCGACAAGGGCTATCAAGTGTAAGTAAGCAAGTAAGTAAGTAAACAAGTATAAGTTCACTTTCATCTCTGAGAATAAATAACATTATCTCTTTAAAATCAACCTATTCATGAACAGTTTTCTCGATTATAAAAAGAGATGAGTGACAGCTAGCAGGGGAATCCAGAACGTACGTTTCGTCCTTGTTAGAAGTCGTCAGGTGGATGTACCTGAATTCCAGAGTTGATGTTTACTACGGGACTCGAGCTCAGTACCATTCACTTGATCCACTTAGTTACTGATTCCTGATAATCATTAGTTTGTACAATGGGGTGAGGTTTTATTTCATTTTTTGTTTTGGTTGTTTGAATCTTACAAGTGATGTTTAAAACTGCAATTGGAGCGAATGGTACTTTGTTCCAGTTTCGAAGTAAACATCAACTCTGAGATGCTGTTATATCCAACTGAAGGGTCCAAACTAGACTTCACTGCTACCCACCATCCATTGCTATTTATAATGATTACGACTTCAGGCAATATCGAAACGATTCGAACAGGATGCACATATGCTGATAAGAGTTTAGTCAATTATAGTACTAAACATAAATGGAAAGATTCAAACAAGCAATACAAAAATGAATTAAAATATTGAGAAGGTGGAGAAGATTTGTAGCTCAGGTGGATTATTTTGGTGGATTTTTGTTCTCTGAGCTGTATGGTTTGATCGTGGAACTTTCATCGTTCTTCTGAACGACATCATCAGCACAAACTTCAGATAGAAGTGAAGTGCATAAATACAGGAACAAAAATCAAACTAATGGGAGACACAACTAAAACAAAGAAGTAAACAATGATAAATTTAAGGTCAATAAGAACCAATCGACATCGAGGTGCAAAAAACAAGCTGTGAAACACATATAGAGAAATTCGAACACTTCACTTCTGTCTGAACATTGTGCTGATGATGTAGTTCAGAAGAACGAAGAAAGCTTCACAACCAAACCATCCAGCTCAGAGAACAAAACTCCACCAGAAATAAAATATTCTTGATTGCCTACCTAACTTGGACAGAATAATGTCAGAGATGGCCAAAAATATATGTGTATCTTGCTTAGAGATTGTCATTATGTCACAAGTTTATGTAGAATGGATGGTAATCCTCATAGGATTCATTTATGCCAAGTGGTACTCATCAACTATAGTTTTTAACGCCAACAATGGGAAGATCTAAACACTTAAAACTAATTTACAACACGTTTCGATTGGATATAACAATACTGAATGAATAGCCTATTCTCACTTAAGACTTAAGGTACCAGGTTTAAATCTCAAGATAAATATCAATTCGGAGATGCAGGGACACCCAGCAAAGGATTCTTGAAAGGACAAGACATGTGTCTTTATATCTGTTGCTAATCACTTTACATACATTCCATGTAATCATATAAGTATAGATTACAATATTTCTTCAAACAATAAGTAGGTATATTATGTTATTTCATAGCGTCAACAATAACTCAATTAATAAATGAGGTTAAAACTTAGTCCAATTCTCTTAGGATAAATGATCAACTGATCTGAACTAGATCCTTATAAAAAAATGAACAAACACTAAACAGCTATTTCCCAGTAATTTGGGCTCCTCAGCAGTACGTATCCACGATCCCATCACATACAATCAAGCGCCGAAATTTTGATCTAGCCAACCAACGCTTGAAATCTAGACTAATCGGTTAGTATCTATTCTTTTACATACCCAACTCCAAATAACTCCTTATGTTGTGCGACTTACTTTCATATCCTACGACGGATTACCGTCTCACATCCGATATAATTGAACTTTAATGCTCAAATTAATGAACAGTTGATGATTTAGGCTATCGAAATTCTAAAATCCGTACAAATATAGGTAAAGTTTCAATGAATATGATATATTGTCCTGGTATGGTCGAGCGTATGATCTAACATAGCCACGCGTATACAGTCATTGTCAGGGAATTCCTGTTCACTACGTTCTCGCTACTGCGGTGTTGTTTACGAAGCTGAGAAGACGAAAAACGAATGTCCTGTGTTTTAACCAGGTTGGTGGATATGGAGAATGCATTGAGAAGAGTTGGAAAATTCTGATTTCAAACCAATAGTGCATATGGGCTCCAGGATCCTAATGGCGTACAAACCTATTGTTGATCACTGGATACCATAGAACTGCATTTCCACAAGTTGCTCCATTGTCTTAAACCTATAGATCAAAGGCTCATAGTGTGTCTTCCTAAATTAACCACCTGTTTTGATTTGGACATCCTCTACAGTATCCCAGCTATCACATGAATTGAATGACTCAGTTTGGCGTATCTCTATTGGATGCCTCCTTTGTACCAATGTTTATGTGTTTAAATAAGTAAATAAATCCATCAAAACAGTAACCATTGTAATTAGATGTAATAAACTAGTAATAAAAAACATGAATTTTATGATGGAACCAAATGTTCTATAAACAAAATAACCATAAAAACAACGACTTGATATACAAAAAACAAATAGGTGAAAAGTACTTGTCATGGATATTGTAGTTGCCAAACAAACAAACAAACAACCAACCAAATGTGTTAATATTCCCTTGGTGTTGTTTACTTGTATCTTCCTAGATTACCATTGGAAAACCTGGAAGTATTGGATGGCCGTTTCGTCCTAGTATGGGACTCCTCAGTAATTCGCATCAACGACCTTATCTCGCAAGATTTCAACTCAGGACTTATCAGTCTCTCTATACGTTCTATATAAGGACAAAATAATTACAGGCGAGACTATACATTATGAACAAACCAATCAGATTTATGATAATTGATCTTGAATTTCAACTCCAGATTCATTCATTCATTTGTCTAAATAGTGTTTTGACATTTTAGCCGGTGTCAGTTCGTGATAAAAGTCATAAATCTAATTTTTAATCCTAACCATCATGATCATTATCCTTTAAACTGTTTTATAATCATCATTTACTCCTAGTTAGTAAGTGTATATTCTTAAGAACACTTTAGCGTCACTCAAAGGTCGTTCATAGATTATACGTTTCATCACCAATTGAATCTCTTATTATTTGTTCTGTCTTGTAGAGTTATTCTTTCAAGAGTTGACACCAGTTAAGACTGAAAACGTTCAGTAGAGGTACTTACGTACTTACTTACTTACGTCTGTTACTCCTCGTGAAAGAGCATAGGCCGCTCACCAGCATTCTCCATCCAACCCTGTCCTGGGCAATCCTTTTCAGCTCCTTCCAATTCCTATTCATCCTTTTCATATCTGCTTCTATTATCCGACGTAATGTGTTCTTTGGTCTTCCTTTTTTCCGCTTCCCTTAAGGAATTCAAGTTAGGGTTTTTCTCGTGATGCAGTTTGATGATTTGCGTAATGTATGTCCTATGCATTTACATCGTCTTTTCCTAATTTCTTCTTCAGCTGGAAGCTGATTTGTTTTCTCCCACAAAAGTCTGTTGCTGATGGTATCCGGCCAATGGATGTTGAGTATCTTGTGAAGACTATACTTAAAAACTGTAATATATGAAGAGCAATTTATACTATTAATGCGCCTGAAATATGACTGACATTCAATGTATCATATTCCCTGATTTTGTATCCTGTTCTAATTGATATTAAACTTTCACTAATAGAAGCCTCAAATATCTAAGTATCTTCATTATTTACAATTAGTCTTATGAATTAAAGCGATTCGAAAGTCTATCCGGACAGTCAATTCTCTTTGAGATAGTTACATGCATCGAAACAAAAAAGGATTCAGTATTCAATCGATTAACTCAAATTATTCAAACAATCCATCAATATCACTGGTTGAAATCATGTGTCAATTGAAGCCAAACCACCATGGAAAACCTGGAAGCACTGGACGGCCATTTCTTCGTAGTACGGAACTCCTCAGCAGTGCGCATCTAGAGAGACGTCGTTACCAGTGGAGTCCAACCAGGTCTATTGTAAGATAGGAACTCACTGAAGACAATGGTGTACGGTGGCGCAACTTCGTGGATTGGATGAAGTTAGACATTAACACCGTTGGATGCCGACTCAGTGGTCTAGTTGGTTAAGCGCCTGGCGTGAGATTGACAGGTCCTGGTCTCGAATCTCGCGGGGTGCGGGATTGTGGATGCGCACTGCTGAGGAGTCCCATACTAGGACGGGACGGCCGTCCAGTGCTTCCAGGTTATCCATGGTGGTCTAGCTTCAATCGACTCATGATTTCAACCAGTGAAGTTTCTAAAAATCTCCACAAAACCCATTTTGATAATAACCCATCAATCACTCTGAAGTTTAGACTTAAAATACTTAGTATTCATTCGTACTGTGTTATGTACTACTGATTTTGATAGATATAAGTAGTATGTAATATCAATCGAAAGTGGAATATCTGACAGCAAAAGGTTGATAACGGGAACAGAGCGTGATTTGTATAGAAACGAAGAAAGAGAGTGAAGTTTGAGATGATTGATTGACATTTTGTCAATGAAGTATATACTGTATAGTTCTGAAATTTCATTAAGAGATTTTGTAATGTTGTATTCACATGCATTCAGTTGTCCCCACTAATGTTCTCGTTCACTACAGTATCTTACTTCGTGATTATTGTATAGATTGTATAGGAATACACATGACATTGTCTTACAAATGTCAATATGAACTAAATAGTATTACCATGGTGAACAAGAACACTGATGTGGAGAACCGTATATTTTGGTATACTAGAATCTATGACCCATACAGGGAATAATTCATTTTAAAAATGTCAATCATTCGACTCAAACTTTATTAATAGTTTGTTTTCACACTAATCATTGTCTTTTCATCGATCTTGTCAACTTTTCTACCACCAGACATTTCACTTTTAATTAATGATATATACTACTTATATCTGTCAACATCAGTAGCATATACCACAATACTATCTATAATCTTGATATATTTGAACGAAATACTTTCATTAATAACAATCAAACATGAGCAATACCACTCAATGTGTTGTTAACATAGATTATTAAAACATATCACTAAGGATATCTAATATATCAAAAAGGGTTTTGTGGATATTATAGTAATTTTAATAGTTGAGATTATGATTCAATTAAAGCTAGACCACCATGGAAAACCTGGATACACTGGACGGACGTTTCGTCCTAAAGTGGGACTCCTCAGCAGTCCGCATTCACGATCCCGCCTCGTGAGATTCGAACTCAGGACCTATCAGTCTCGCGTGCAAGCGCTTAACTATAAAACCACGGCATCGAACGGTATTATTGCCTAACTTCAACTAATCCACTATATTGAGCGAGACATCCACCATTGTCTTAAGTGAAATATTATCTCACAACTGACCCTGTTGGACTCCCCTCGTCACCAGTCTGATAGTAGGACGAACTTACCGTCTGATGATTCCAAGTTGTCCATAATGGTCGATCTCCAATTGACTCATAAACTAAACTACTAAAATTATCTAATATAGTTGATACACATTTATATAATGTGACATAGTGTATCCGCTTTTATAGATAGATCTCATCACTTGAATAATACAGTAGTTTGCGGTTACAAATGTTATTTTTCAACATATTTTTGGGCAAGCGGTAGGTAGCTACACCTTACATTTAATAAATACAATCGAACAGGTAACTTATAGTGTACTGAACGAGAACACAACTTTGGACAATCAAATGTATTTGAACAAGAAATTACAGAATATCTCATACAATATAATATTTAATTTGCCAAAATATCAGTCGGTCTTCTTGACTTGACTATTTCTTTGAAAAATATCAGTCCATCATCTCAGATTTCATTATTCCTGTATTTTCATACCGATTGCTTTCTGTTCCCGTTCCCGTCCTTTTACGACCTTCCACTAAAATGCATTCTATTTCTTACTATTTTACATACTACTTATATGGATATAAGTAGCTCAATCGCAATAACAAAAAACTCATTTGCAATGTATATGTGTATTTTGAAATTATTCATAATTATAAACATCTTTGATAGTAGTATCATCAGTATTTTCTAAATATTAATATAAATGTTACAATAATATAAAAAATAATGCAAAGATTTGATAATAATCCATTATGTAGAGGTTTATTAGCTGAATTTGAAGGTGATATATTATTTAGTTTGGTAATCAAATTGTCAACCATTGATCTCATTAATTTAACCTCGTCTAATGATTGTATCAGAAGTTTAGTCGGACTAAGTGACATTATATCTAGAAAAGTACGTTATTAATTGAAGAATAGTAGTTACTAGTTTCAGGGTGAATGGATACATCTTTAGTACCATCTCTTAAGTAAACAGTATCCGGTTGGGATGAAATCAATTCAATAATGAAGTTTAATAGAAAGATCCTGCAAATCATTAACATTTAAAATGATATTCCACAATTACTATACGAATGATTAATCAGAATATACATTGGATATTCAATTCTTATTTATAGGCGCCCAACATGTATGTGCTCATTTACACGTACACACACAAACACACGCACATACGCACGCACACACACGGACAGGCTCACATACACACACAACTTGGGTGAAATATGTCATTCCATATACATTGAAAAGAGATTTGGATGTTCATATTGCCAATAAACAAACATGTTTTCATTCATTATCTTTTGGTAAAATGATGTTAGTTTTTATAATGAAAACATGATTGAAAATTAGGTGATAATGAGTAATTTTGATAGAGTAAAGGTTGATTTCAGAAGTAGGTTTTGTTGAAAAGTTAGTAGTTTTAATCATTGAATTCATGAACTGATTGAAGCTAGGCCAACCATAGAAAACCTCATTACAGACAATGATCGATGGCGATTTCATTTCGTGGATTGCTTGAAGTTAGACATTAACACCACTGAGTGTCAACTCAGTCTTCTATGGATAGGTCCTGAATTAGAAACTGGCGGGCGGGGTCATGGATGTACATTGTTAAGGAGTTCTATACTAGGACGAAACGGCTGTCAAATGTGTCCAGGTTTTCTATGTTGGTCTAGTTTAAATCGACTCCTTTATTATTAACAAATATCAATTAAGTGAATTTCGAGTTGTTCAGTGTAAAGGGAATCCTTCTATTTCGTTAAAGATTTTTGTTAAAGATTGATACAATATATGAATGTTGACGTTTAAACATATTTGAAATGATGTGTTTAACATAACCCGTATTTAATGATCATCGTGGTATTCAAATTCCTTAGTCGTCAAAGATGCACACTGATCAGAAATACGACAATATATTGAAAGGACTCCGTGATATTCAATGGTCTTCGGTGAGACTGTAATTTATGGACGACTTTTCAACAAGCCTTGAATGACCTTGAGAACAATGACTCCATAATTGTTGGCCTCTAGAGACATGATAACATCGCAACAACTCTTTCAGCCTCGACCAAATAGCTTCAATATTGTTTGTGTGCGCTCCTGTTGTAAGGTCCACAAAATGGCGCTTGTGGACAACGAAAAGATGCACATAACCAAATCTATGCAGGCATCGGTAGGCTCTTTAATCAGCTGTATAGATTGTAGTATCCAGCTGCATGTATTCCAGTATAATTGATATTATTGTCATTTCTTATCGGTTTCTGACCCTTTGGAAGCGTCCATTTTGGGTTGATCTGTCGTAAATTCCAATTACCTAGGAGGTATATTTGTGGAAATGCTACTTACCCAGTCTTCTTTAATATTACGTCCTCTGTTAAATTTTTGCTTCCGGACTACTGTTTCATTTATTTCAAAGATTTTCCCAACTCCTCCAAACGACTCGTGTAAACTTGTCATTTCTATTATACATATCTCTCTACATTACTCATACTGCTGAACAGCTGAAGCTTCAGAAACGTCTGCAAATGTTGCAGCCAGTGCTACTAGTGCTTTAATTATCCATTTTGCAACAATTATCATGATTTATCTCAGTTTCAATCGTGATCGTGCGAAGAAAGTTCCTCCTCGAGCAGGCTTCTTCCTCCAACACATATTACATAGAAAGACAACATCATCACGGTAGTCTGTACAAGGTTCACAAGTCATTTCACTACCACAATCACAAATAAAAGAACTTCTTATTAGTCATGTTTGTTGCATTCCGCTCAGTTATCACGTTTTCTCTAAAATACGCTGTGAACCGATCGTATGTGAGCATCAGGTACTGAAATTGGTACTGTGGCCGTGAAATTCCCCAAACACTTCTGATTAGCTCGTACATAACAAGCGGTATTAATATCTTGGAGATTAAGGAAGACAATAGAAAAAGCATCCTTTAGTGAAGTTGATTTCAAAGTATTGTAGATGTTGTTGTTTACTTGTATCTTTCCATTGTTATTTAGGACTGCAATTGATTAGTCTCATGTTAGCATATGTGCATCCTGTGTGGATTGCCTCGATATAGCTTTAGGTCATAAGCTTTTTAAATAAAGAAGGCTAGTGGCCATCTTAGGCAGTGGAGCAATATAAGGAGATGCAGTTCCATTTAAGCCGATGACCATTAGGATCCTGGAGCTGATGTGCACCATTGGTTTGTAATGGGGTTTTTTCAATTCTTCTCCATGTCCACCAACCCGATTAATACGCTAGACATTCATCTTTCATCCCCTCAATTTCATAAACAACAGTAATGCCGCAAGAAGGCAGTGAGTATGATTCCCCTGACAGTAGTTGTATACATGTGGCCATGTGTAAACATATTGAGAGTGACAGTTGACTCTTTACACCCTCAATCATACCAGGGTATTTGGAGACTTGACCTTCAGACTACTGTGACTAGGGAATTGTTCAATGTTTTCAGGTTCTCAATGATGATCTAACAATGATCAGTTCATAATCTCAATTTTTAAAAAAACTCAACAATCTCTACAACCGTAAACTTACAAATTCTCTCTAACATTCAAAACAATCCAGAAAATAATTGTGTCATCTAATCTCTTTACTTTAAATTAACAAATGAACATCATTATTATTTCATTTGTTCATGCCATATTGTCAATAACATATGATTTAGATTGTTTTGAATGTTTTATAGCTTTCAATAGATAAACAATTTCAATGCTAAGTGAATTATTGTTTATGTAAAGTTATGTTCTATTGTTTCAAAGAAATCTCAGCACATAGATATTGGTACAATGAGGCACCAAGTACATATGCGTCACACAAATCTCATTTGGTTTGTGTGAAGGCTGTGATACTGCCTGAGTGCCCAAACCGAAACAGGTGGTTTTGCTTGGGGGGGTCACACCCCGAGCCTTCGACCTGAAGGTCTGATCCACAAGCCAGTGGAGCAACGTCAGGAGATGCAGTTCTATGGTAGCCGGTGACCAACAGTTGGTTCATACGCCATTTGTTCCTTCAAAATACTGGAGTCCATGTGCACCACTGGTTTGATATGAGGGTTTTCCAACTCCTCTAGCTGGACTCTCCGTGTCCACCAACCCGGTTAAAGCGCCGGACATTCGCTTTTCGTCCTAACAATTTCGTAAACAACACCCCTGCCACGAGAAGGCAATGAGTAGGACTTCCATGGCAGAGGATATATACGCGTGGCCGTACCGGACCAATCACCTGTTTGTTTGTTGAACTATAATGTAGGTTCGATGTTAATTGATTAGAAACAATCGGTAGTTAGTTATATTGAACATGATTTCATAGTAGTTGACAGTTATCATTAAATAATATCGAAGTTCACTTCTAAACATCTCCATACAAAGAATGAACCAATTTTACAGTGTTTCGATGCTTCAATTGATTGTCAGCCTTTTATCTGATTGTAGTATTAGTAAAATTCATAAAACTCAATACTGATTATTGTTAAGTGCTTGAAAAGAAAGTTTCCGAAGTTCTAGTCATGACTATTAGAATCCGACTATGAGAGAGTTATTCACGAACAGCCATTTAATATTTAATTATGAATGTATTCAGATAATGGATAATTCTTATAGGGTAATCGGTCAATTTTACGGTAGCCTACGGTGATTAAGAACGATTGAAATGTTCTTCAAATACGATATTAAATAAATAGAAACACAAAAGGTTCATTCGGGTTCCAATGTAAAGATGGAGATGAATCAACTGACGCCTTATTATGTATTACGAAACAAGCGTTCTTGATTCCACCCTCAGCCACAACAAAACTGTGCTATTTATTAGATATGTAAATAATGTAATAGCAAATTCATTAATCCTTCGAAAGTACGGTCACTTTATCTGTTTAAGTAACAGAATGTCTGAAGACAGATAATAGCCCACAATGCCGTGGTACGGCCGAAAGTGGAGAGAGTCAGCTCTCTCTCACATGGCCACGTGCATACAACCACTGACAGGGATGACCTACTCACTGTCTTCTTAACACTGGTTTGTTGTTTACGAAATTAACAGAACGGAAAGCGAATATCCGGCGCTTTAGCCAGGTTGGTGGATATGAAGAATATACCTAGATGTGTTGGAAAACCCTGATTCCAAACCAATGTTGCATATGGGCTACAGGATCCTAATGGAACAAATGGTGTATAAACTAATTATTTGTCACCGGTTACCATAAGACTGCATCTCCTGACGTTGCTCCACTGGCTTGTGAATCAGACCTTTAAGTTGCTCTATGTATGCCTCCCTAGGAGAACAACCTGTTTCGGTTTGGACCTCACACAAATCGAACTATTTATGTGGCGCTTATTTATTTGATGCCTAGTTGTACCAATGTTTATGTGTTTAGATAAATAATACAACATCCATTAAGTGTTGTTGTGAATGATCACTAAGTAGTGACCATAATCAAGTTTATCACACTCTTCTTAGCGCTGTTCAACTTGTATCGATAATGTAGTAATGTGGTCACTGGTCTTGGTGACTTGACATCACGTGCACTATATTCAGATGTAAGACATTGTTTGGAGATAGTCGACAGAATACCATGAATCTAGTTTCTGGGGTGTTTCACACTTGTCAGAAAAGTGAATTTGTAATCTTGAAGGAAATGATGATCCTTTCAACATAGTCGATAGAATTCGGGTAGCAATAAGGGGGAATTGGCATATATTTCATAGGTCACTGCTTATTGACTAATCAATTGTAAATATATCTTAGTCCTATAAGAGGTCAGTCTCATAGTAAAAATGAAGTTGACAATGTAAATGTTTTGAATTCTTTATCCTCATGGTTCCATTCGAATCCGTGTTCTTGTTTGTCACTGTTATTTTGATGGCGATTATGAATTTCTAGATGTTAGGATGATCAAAGTAAATCATTATGCCCAAATCATGGTAATGGTTCTTATTGAGTGAATCAGTATATGTAACATCTATTATGTGGGTTGATGAAAACCTGGTCAAGGATAAAGGTGGCCTATATTACTCAGTTGTGACAAACACCAATTCTACGCTTATGAGTTTCATCAAGATTGTAAAGGATAATCTTGTAAACAATGCAAAAGAATAGGTGCTGTTGACTCATTCTGTTCTACTTTTTGAGATTGTTTTTAAGATAATCGTGAATGATAAATGGTTTGACATCTACTAATGCATGTGTAATCCATACATTCTAGAGAGCTTCACGACTACCCTCTACACCAATCCAATAACATTGATAATCCATGATGTGTGATTGAAGAAAAACCAGGGGTTCAAGAACATTGATATTTCAAACAACTAAAATCATGGTATATCAACTCTGATCTTGGAATATGAAACCAAAATAGAGAATTAATGAATATCTAGAAGCACTGAATAGGCGTTTCGTCGTAGTGATGGGACTTCTCAACAGTGCCTATCCACAATCCTACCTCATGAGAATAAATATTATGGAGATAATGAACATTTTGATATGAATACAGACTTTATGTGATATGTAACATTCTGATGTAAATTAGTTGAACATACAACAAGCTCTCCAATGATGTCATGTGTTTATACATTACATGAATGATTTATTCATTTATTTGTATAGAGAATGATTTCTATAGTGTAATAATATGGAAGAGAACAAACCAGCTTGAAGTTCAATAGGAAAATACGTTGAAGATGAATAGAAATTACATTGTGGAAATCATCAAACTGGATCAAGAAACAAGCGCTAACTTGAAGTCCTGAAAGGAAACAGAATTGGAGGCAGATATGTAAAGAATGAATAGCGATTAGAAAGGATTAATCGGAACGGAGTTGCATAAAGAATTCTGGTGATCGGTCTATGCAGCTACACGAGGGATAATCATCAACCACTAAATATTTATTGTCATTGTGAGCATATATCACAATATATGAAGGACTTTAAAAATAATTTACGTCTATAGTAGTACACTTGCAGTAGTGAAGTCGAGCACATTTTGTCTTAAAGTGGTATCATCAAAACATTTTTCCTATATTTACTGGTATTGAAATACTTACCTACGCCTCTTGCCCCCTTGAAGGAGTATAGGCTGCTTACTAGCATTATTCATCCAACTGTGTCCTGCTCAATCCTTTCTAGTTGCTATTCATCGTTTTCATGTTTGTTTCCACTTCTCGATTTAGTGTTTTCTTTGACCTTCCTCCTTTCTGTTTCCGTTCAACATTCCAAGTTGGCGATTAACTCGTGACACAGTATGATGATTTCTACAATGTGTGTCCTATCCACTTTTAACGTTTTCGCCGAATTTCTCCCTCAGCTAGAAGTTGGTTTGTTCTCTCTCACAGTATATTGTTGTTGATTGTTTCCAACCAATGGGCATTGAGTATCTTGTGTAGACAACTATTTATAAATACTTGTATCTTCTTCATGATGGTTATAGTAGTTCTCCACGTTTCAGCTCTATAGAGTAGAACCATCTTGAATTAAAGATTATGACACTGATGTTAGTTGACAGATAGTTATTTTGTGTTCTATATGTTCCTAAGTTGTAAGAATCCTGTGCCTGTTTTTCCAATCTTTATCTTTCCGCTTACATCAAATCCTCCTTATTCACCGATGATGCTGTCCAACCAAATACATAAAAGATTCCACATCTTCCAGAGCTTCTCCATGATACAAAAAAATGATAATTTGACAATGTACTTGAATATGATATATTGATATCGATAGATCTTGGGTTCGAATCTCTTGGATACTCACTGCTGAAGAATTCAACAATAGGACGAAATGTCCATCCAATACTTTCAGATTTTCATTTAACTCATGATCTCAACTATTAAACTATTAAACAAATAAACAAATAGTTCTGATCCATATATATGTATTTATATTGAAATAGAATTGTACAGGCTTATCTCAAGGTTATGATCGTGAATAATGCAATTGAAGTACCAGTTAATAATCCATTCGAAATCGATTTCTTTCCAGAACCTGTGATGTCAGTTACTTTTACCTCCTGCGTTAGATTATCAAGTTCCTCTTTCATTTGTTGATATGTTTTACTAATATTATCTGAAATATGATTCATTCCATAGCAACAAGTGTTACTTACCAAACAGATCATGTGCATTTATAAGTTGTTCAGCGGTTATTTCAATTCTTCCATTTGTAATGAATAATGATATCATAAACCAAATAGATATTAATATTCTCCAGAACATATTCAGGATTTCAATCAATAATCAATCAATTCTGTTTTTATAATAATCATAAAAGAAAAAGAGAACATATTCCTCTTATTTATATACCCTTTCGATATTTTTAGTGTTTATTTATATACTACTTATTTCAACATTCATCATCGACTCAACATAAACAAACCATATGAAACATGTTTGAAGTATTATTATGATGATTTACATGTTTAAAATTTGTTTACTATTTTAGAAATAAAAACATGATTGAAATGAATGACGAGATGATTGAAATGCATCATAGATATACTTTATGTATGATTAGTTGCATTTGGTTCTTGTTGTTGCTATTGTTGTTGTTGTGAAGGTACAATTCAATTGTTTTATTACTTGATTATTGAAGTTTTTTTACTAACAATATGATATATGTAAATAACTTTACATTATCTGGTCAATATCATTAATGAGTATGATGGATTTGATGAAGATGTGAAGGAATGAATTGGCAAAGCCTAACTATAATTGAAGAACATCTGGAACTCAAACCAATTGTCAACTAACATCAATGTCAGAATTTTTAATTCAAATATCAAGACAGTTCTACTGTATGAATTGAAAACATGGACAACTACAAAAGTCATCATCTAGAAGATATAAGTATTTTTTTGACGGTTGTCTACGCTAAATACATCAGATCCGTTGATCAGACACTATCAACAACAACCTACTATGAACGAGAACAAACCAGATTCCGGCAGAGAAAGAAATCTGGAAGAAGTGCTGAAAGTAATTAGGACACAAATTGGGGGAGGCGTGCAACTGCGTCACAAGGCAAGCCCTTACATGGAATTCTCAATACTGAAGGAGGCGAGGAAGACTAAAGAACACATTACTCTTGGTATAGGAGACACACATGAGAAGAATGAAGAGCAATTGGATAGAAATAGAAAAGAAAGCCCTGACATAGTGTGTTGGAGAACACGGCATGGCGGCCTATAATCGATTGAGGGTAACAGTCGTAAGTAAGTAAGTAAGTAAGTAAGTAAGTAAGTAAGTAAGTAAGTAAGTAAGTAAGTAAGTAAGTAAGTAAGTAAGTAAGTAAGTAAGTAAGTAAGTAAGTAAGTAAGTAAGTAAGTAAGTAAGTAAGTAAGTAAGTAAGTAAGTAAGTAAGTAAGTAAGTAAGCAACTAACTAATAAACTAACTAAGTTAGTTAGTAAGTAAGTAAGTAAGTAAGTAAGTAAGTAAGTAAGTAAGCAACTAACTAACTAACTAACTAAGTTATTTAGTAAGTAAGTAAGTAAGTAAGTAAGTAAGCAACTAACTAACTAACTAACTAAGTTAGTTAGTAAGTAAGTAAGTAAGTAAGTAAGTAAGTAAGTTAGCAACTAACTAACTAACTAACTAAGTTATTTAGTAAGTAAGTAAGTAAGTAAATAAGTAAGTAAATAAGTAAGTAAGTAAGTAAGTAAGTAAGTAAGTAAGTAAGTAAGTAAGTAAGCAACTAACTAACTAAGTTAGTTAGTAAGTAAGTAAGTAAGTAAGTAAGTATGTATGTAAGTAAGTAAGTAAGTAAGTAAGTAAGTAAATAAGTAAGTAAGTAAGTAAGTAAGTAAGTAAATAAGTAAGTAAGTAAGTAAGTAAGTAAGTAAGTAAGTAAGTAAGTAAGTAAGTAAGTAAGTAAGTAAGTAAGTAAGTAAGTAAGTAAGTAAGTAAGTAAGTAAGTAAGTAAGTAAGTAAGTAAGTAAGTAAGTAAGTAAGCAACTAACTAACTAACTAAGTTAGTTAGTAAGTAAGTAAGTAAGTAAGTAAGTAAGTAAGTAAGTAAGTAAGCAACTAACTAACTAACTAACTAAGTTAGTTAGTTAGTAAGTAAGTAAGTAAGTAAGTAAGTAAGTAAGTAAGCAACTAACTAACTAAGTTAGTTAGTAAGTAAGGATGGAAGGAAGGAAGGAATGTATCATCATTCGAAATTGAAATACCTGGCAACAGAATGTTAGGAAGTTCGAATCGAAGAGAACGTGAACAGAGAATGTTTGGTGTGTAAACGAACGAACAATGAAATCTTTAGACAACTGATTGACATTTTGCAAATGAAATATTTCCTGTATACTTTTCAGATTCTAGTAAGACATTTTGTAATTTTGTGTTGAAATATATTTGATCGTCTTCACTAGTGTTCTCATTTATGTTTATCTATACTCCTCTTATTACAAGCTTTACTCTGACCTATAAACTATAACTGTATAATTTACCATTCTTGAGTTATGTCCAGTCTATTAATGACAATCTCTCACATCCACAGCCAGTATTAGATTGATCTTGTACAAAAGTTACTTTATATTTTATGGTGGGATGTGGTCTGTTTGGTTTGTATATAAACCCAATATGTTTGCGAGACATGATTCATATCATAGAGGCTGAGATTGATGTTGTGGACTCAACAGGCAGGCGGTGCTTGGCTGAAAGAAGGACCGATAAGGACTTTAGACTGCTCGTACTTGTTTTATGTGTCATTGATCCAGTCGATAATTCACTGTTCTCTAATCGACAGTATCATTACGTTATATATTGATAAGGATACAAGGCTATAATTTATAACAAGTACTGAATTCTGTAAATAGTGTATAGAAAATTCATTAACATTTTCCTTTGTCAACTTTGTCTAAAAGTAAACAATAATCACTTCATTTTAACGTCTTAAATTAACAGACTTATGCTTTACGGGAATACAATGATAAACTATCGGTTTTTATGGGTTTTGGAGATTGTTAAACTTTTGATTGAGATCATGAACCTATTGATGTTAGACCACCATTGAAAACTGGAAACACTGGATGACCGTTTCGTGCTATTGTGGAACTCCTCAGCATTGCGCATCTACGATCCTGCCTCATGGGATTCGAGTCCAGGTCCTACCACTGAGCTAGCCGGCATCCAGTGGTGTTAATGTCTAACCTGAGACAATCTACGAAATTGCACGACTATCTTCCATTTTGCTGAGTTAGACACCTGTTTCTACCCGACACGGATTAGCTCCCTTGGTCACAGCTTCTCACCAGAACTCCGAGAATTCTCTCACGAAGCTAGTCATTAGTGAGCAGATGGTAATTATCAGTTTAGGTGTCGCGAGACTTCTTGGATTGGTTGAGGTTGGAAATTAACACCGTTGGATGCCGACTCAGTAGTCCAGTAGGTTAAGCTTTCTTGCGCGAGACTGAAGGCCCTGGGTTCGAATTCCACAAGTGAGATTGTGGATGCGCACTTCTGAGGAATCCTATACTAGGACGAAACAACTGTTCAGTACTTCTAGGCTTTCAGTGGTGGTTCATGATCGTAATCATAAAAGTTATGCAAACTATAACCTAGGATAATGTATTCGAACTCAGACGAATAATCACCTTGGTAACACATCTGTTATTGATCATAATAATTGATAATGCTATCATATCTGCTTGATGAATACAATCATATAGACTAATGAAAATAACACATTCTTTTACAATATATCTTTATTTCAAAATGATTAATAACAATAAGCATATGATTAAGATTTCTGTAAATGATAATATACTATAAGTATAATACATATACTAGACAACAATCCATTATGAATATACTTAGTTGCTATACTTGTTGAAGGTGATATAGCGTTTATTTTATTAGCAAAAATATCAAGCGCTTCTTTTAATTTGGTAACCTCCTGTTTTAATTCTAATACAATAAGACGTGGATCTATATCTTCATTTGAATAAATAATCATAAAATTATGAATTAGTGATTATTAGTTACCATGATAAGTTTGAATGGGTATACCTTTGGGACCATGATTTACTGGAACACGTTCTGATTGAGATGTTATTAATTCAATAATGAAGCATAATACAAAGATTCTCCAAATGATCAACATTGAAATGATATTTCACAATTATTACACCAACGGTCAATCAGAATTTATAATGAATAGTTAGTTCTTATTTATAGACGACAAGCATCTACATGTTCATTCACACACACACACACACATACGTAAGCACCACCCCCCTACACAGTTTGAGTGTAACATAACATTTCAAATAATATTTAGATGTTCATATTGCCAACAAACAAACAAACATGTTTCCATTCGTTATCTTTTGTATAGATGATGTTAGTTTTATTATTTTAGTGAAAATCTGACTAAAAATTAGTTGGTATTAGTTGTTATTTTCAGGAGGAAGGGGGTCTTGTGGAGATTTTAGTAATTTTAATTGTTGAATTCATGAATCAATTAAAACTAAACAGTTTGTGGAAAACTTAGAAGCACTTGACGACCGTTTCGTCTTAGAATGGGACTCTTCAACAATGTGCATTCATGATCCCGCCAGCAGGATTCGAACCCAAGACCTGCGAGCCCATAAAAGAACGAAAAGTCTGTCCAGTGCATCCAGGTTAATTATTAAAATAATAATAATGATTGAGATCATATAGACTGTTGCATAAGTGTTGCATGAAGTGAATTATAAGTATTTCAAACTCACCTATTTTTCAGTTTCATCTAAGCGTCATTTACATAAACTACAGTTTATAAAATAGAGTGAATGTGTGGTGTAGGCTAATTATATCCACGTACGTAGTATATAACTATGGTCAGGCATAAAATGTATTTCAGAGGAACGGTGGGACGTGTGGCTGCTGGGAAGACATCGGATTTAGATGTCTCGGCAGGTCGCAGGAGTGTAGGCGTTGAACGTCCCAGCTGCCGGATAGATGTCGAATGTTGGTGCCCCGGTAGGTCGACGAAGCTACGGAGGTTAGCGCGCCGCAATTTTTAATGAAAATGAATGAAAAATGAAATCTGAGACAATGGACTGATATTTGCGAAATGAACAGTGAAGTGTGAATCGATGGAATGATATTTTGCAAAAGAACTATTGACTGTATGGTTCTTAGATTTTAGTCACATGTTCTGCAATGTTAAAATACAGTGGATTGTCCTTCCCCACACTCGTGATCCTGTTCACCACAAGTGTTTAGGTATGCAGTACAGTACAAAATTCATGCTTGTCTTCTTCAATTGTGGATTGTACTATATGAATTTAACAATCAACTAACACGGAACAAAATGATCACGTTTTTATTATATAATTTCCGATCACCTGCCTACATTCACAGTCGTGTAGAAAATATGACGTAATAAATAATAATAGACATTAATAAGCAAAGATGGATAGTGACTAACTGTGGAATGCACAATGAGCGTTTCATTCTATTTGGGACTTGTCAGTTGGACATAACTGAATTATATCAGTTTGTCAAGTAAACAGATTTTAAATTCATACTAGATGAATATTTTCATTTCAGGTTACTATTGCATCCGTTGTTGTGATTTTGCCGGAATTCATAGGTCGTCGGCATAGAACTTTCATCTATACTTGAGTTTGTACATGTTTTAAGGTTAGTAAGCGTTTCAATTAACATATATAATAGATGCTTCACGATAAAAAATGTGGAACGCCTTCAAATACCCCGGTACGACCTAGGGTGGGGAGAGTTCACTCGAATAAAATCACTATCAGGCAAGTCCTACTCACTGCCTTCTCACTACTGAGATGTTCTTTATGAAACTGAGAGGACAAAAAGCGAATATCCGGTGCTTTAACCCGGTTAGTAGATATGGAGGATTCACCTAGAAAAGATAGAAAACCCTGATTCCAAACTAATGCTGCACATGGGATCCAGGATCCTGATAGAACAAATGGCGTATGAACCAATTATTTGTCACCAGTTACCATGAAACTGCATTTCCTGATGTTGCTCCACCGCCTTGTGGATTAGACCTTTAGGTCAAACGCTCCGGGTATGACCTCCTAAGAAAACCACTTGCTTCGGTTTGGGGACCCAGGCGGTATCACAACTCACACACAAATTAAGTGAATCGTGTAGTGCATATGTATTTACTTTTACTTGTCTTCTAATGTTTGATTCCATCCTTCAGCTGTTCATCTCATGAAGGATATCTATGATACTTACTCTCTTGTACTAAGTTTCAGTTATCCCTAGTGTCATCGTTTCGTGCATTAGCAAATTGTAACGCTGAAAAGTAAAAAAAGAATACTCATCCCAATGGTAAATACTATCCGAATCATCGAGGTTATTCTCAGAATTAAAATGAATAACAAACCAGAACTGATTGTTTCTAGAATCAGGATGATGTATGTTACTTATATTGACAGATATAAGTAGTATGTAGCATCAAGCAAAAGTAGTATACCTGAAAAGAATGAAATGAAAGAAAAAAGATAAGAGAAAACTGAAAGCAATCAAAATAATAACAAGAATAAAGAATCGATAGAGTCTGTAGGAGACAACTGATGGAAGATCTGTATAGTTTTCATATTTTATTCATGTTCATTAACTGGATACCATCATTCACAACAAACAACCTACTGTAGAAGATAATAAATCAGCTTCCATTTGAAAAGGAAATTAAAAAAAGACACTAGAAGTGAATAGGACATACATTGTAGACTTACATCAGACTGCATCATGAAGCAAGCTCTAACTTGGAATACTGAAAGGGAACGGAAAAGAGAAAGACCAAAGAACACTCTACATTAAGAATTGAATATAGACATGAAATAGATGATCAAGGACAAAATTGAATGGAGAATGCTAATGGCTGATCTATGCTACTCAGTCAGGTGTAACAGGTGTACGTACACAAGTTCTCCAATCGATCTTCCCATTACATTTATCTATAGCTTAATATTGGCATGTTTACTTACACCTTACATAGTTCAATACCATATTAGTTACTACATAACTCAATATTCATCATCGTTATATTTTGTTGTTCAATTCAGAAAAAAACAGTAAACATGTTTAGACAATGATGACTTGTTTGTTCTGTTTTTTATATCATCAACAACAAAAAAACATGATTGGAAATACAAAACAATGATATATGTGTCATAGATATAGTTCATGTCTGATTTGCTATTTCCTTTCTAAAAGCCTCATTCAATCCCTTTTGTAGTGGTTTCTCCCTCTCCCCCCACCCTCTTTCAGTCAAAATGAATTTGGTAAAATTTATTAGGATCTTCTGGAGAAGTGACTATATCGAAACACGGCACAACTACAGGAGGACCGATAGCTGAGTTTGCAGTTAAAGCTGTGCTATTTTTTCTTTGTAGCATTTGTAATCGTTCATGAGTATCAGTCGAGTGATTGATTGGTCCGATCTTTGTCACCCAGTTTACTACTCATATTGGTTGATGGAATAAGTCTCACTATCCAGGAGGTACGACAAGGATGTGTGAGTCGAGTTTTATCTCCCAGTGATTTCCAGAGTTTGATATAAATTATGACTAGTGAGGTTTGTTACTGATGCTATTCAATGTTTGTTGATTAAGGTTGATTAATGAAAAACTCAACATTACTTCACTGAGATCAAAATATCTTACATAGACAATTGTTTATAAATAGTTGTATCTTTTTGATGATGATTGTGGTAGTTCTGCACGTTTCAGCTCCATACACTAAAACTATCTTGACGTTCTTAGTGAAGATTGTGACTTTGATATTGATTAACAGAGAGCTGTTTTGAGTCCCATGTGTTCTTCAACTGTAGGAATGCTGTTATTGCTTCGTCAATCTTCACTTTTACATCTGCATCAGATCCTTCACGTTCGTCGATGATATTACTCAGAGATGTGACTGTTTCCACATATTCTACAGTTTTTCCATCAAGTGTGATTGGTTTGATGTCAGTATTTGATGAAACTCACTAAGTTAGTGGAGAAACATTGTAAGAGATGGGAAGTTTCACGTACCTGGGTAACACCATCGATAAACAAAAAGGCCGTATACTATCAGCAACAGCCTACTGTGAGGGAGAACAAATCGACTTCCGATTGAAGAGAAAATTAGGAAAAATCATTGAAAGTGGATAGGACATACATGACAAAAATCACCAAACTGCATCACGAGGTAAGCCCTAACTTGAAATCCTGAAGGGAAATGGTAGACAGGTGGACCAAAGAACACATTATGTCGGGAACTAGAAACAGATATGAAAAGGTTGAATAGAAACTGGAAACAACTGACAAGGATCGCTCAATAATGAATTGGATGGAGAATGCTGGTGGTCGTCCTATGCTACTCCACGATAAGCGATGCATTTTCATAGTAGTCAGTGACTAACAATAAGTTCATACGCCCTTTCTTCCTTCAGGATACTGGAGTCCATGTGCACCATTAGTTTGGAATCAGGGTTATCCAATTCCTCTAGGTGAATCCTTCATATTCACCAACCCGGTTAAAACATTGGATATTCACATTAAGTTCATTTGTACTTCCCTATATCTGTCTTACTTTAATTACACTGTTCCGGGAATTCCTGGTAAGTACATTAATTCAAAGATTGTCATACCCAATTTAAAATCACTTAAGTACGAATGTAGTGTATACTACTCATACGGACAGATAATAAGTAGCATGTAGCGGCAGTTGAAAGTGGAATACCTACCAGCAAATGATTGAATTAAAGAGAACAGTAAACAAGTCGGAGAGAAATCAAAATAACAACAGAATTAGAGTTATACCAAGTAAGTTATTATGTCACAAGATCGAGGTAGCATCCCCTCTCCCTCTTTCTCTCTCTCTAAATATTAAACATAGACTAGTAGGTAGACAAATTAGGGTCGTAACGTTGTTCTCTTTGGGTAAATGATACACTTTGTGAATCACTGGTATCATGTTATCTAGATTAAGTTTCAGTAAAATTGTCTATGAGACATTTGTAAATGAATATTACATATTATGTCACCTTACTTAAGCTTATGATTAGATGATACTTGATCATAACGAATTAAAGATTTCAGAAGGAACCAGACAAATATAACACTTATTAATACTTGGTGATTATTCATTTGGACATTGTTTTCAGTGATAAGCATTATCCCTTGCAACAAATGATTATATAGTACTCATGATTTGACTTATCATAATAATTTTAATAATTGAATTCATGAATGAATCTGAGCTAGACCACCAATGAAAACATGGGAGCAATACGTTGACGTTTCTTCCTAGATTCACAAATGATTGATCACTGGGTGATGATCAATGTCATGTGTATCAAGTCCTTCTTTGTACAGATCAAATGCTATCGACCAAGTTGCAATGTGCATGCACTATATTGAG